GCAACTCACATGGAAACTGCCCTTTCAAATGAAATAATCCTCTTACACACCACTTTCCTTTTCCCAGAGTCTGGCTTTCAGGCTTTCATATAAAATATTGTTACCTACAGGGCAAAAGAGATGCCAAGCAAAACACTCTCCCTGTTTGAGCACTGTGCCTTACACAGTCCATGTGCTGTCAATTTGCAGTCCATATTTGCCACAGTGACACTGTCCCTCTGCACAGCCCCATCTAAGGAGAAAAGCACTCCCAGTCTTGTTCACCTAATAGCAATGCCAGTAATATCTCTGAGGTGGAAGGATATTACCTGATGTTATGGCTGTACCACAGAGCTTCAGCAGGACCACAAAAGATTTAATGCTTTCTGCAACATTAACAGCATCCATGATAGCATCTAAGAAACAGCTTAGAGATGGCATCTCACCAGGTTTCCCCGAGCAGTACCATTGTGGCAGCAAGGCTGAGCTGTCCACACAGCTCAGAAGGAGCACTGTCACACTGTCAGCAGCGTTGTCCTTAGCTGTTTCTGTTCTGCGCTGTCACTGCCACAACTGTCAGGAAATTGGCTCGGCTCGGCAATAACCCATGATCCCTCCCACTCCTGAAGGGGAAACACACCATGTTGGGAGGTGGGGGAAGACAAAAGGGAGGAGGAGGAATGGGAGTATGTAGAACTTGCATAGTGATTGAAGGTTTTATGCTATAAAGCTGCAGCTCTGAGACACAGCCAGATGCACAGGGGGGTGGAGGGAATGCTCTCTGCATCTCCCCAGAAAGCATCAGTTGTTGAATGACTGCCATCTGCAGTTCCTAGGGAAGCTAGAAGCCTTCTGCTGGTTGATGCATTTTGCCTTATCCAGTGGGCAGAACTCAGCAGAGGCTTGCTGTGTCTGTATACAGTCTTCTCAGCTATCTTTTGTCTCATTTCTTCCTCCAGGTCCTAAAACAAGATAAAAATGAAAGTGTATCTTTCCATTTCCACTTGCCTACAGAGCAATCTACTGAATCGTTCATGAACTGAGGGCAGAAATTCCAGCAACGAAGCTGTCCTGTATCAACAACAAACTCAGCTGTGTTTCTAAAGCTCGGGGATGCTTGATGCTGAGATTTCCCTTCGCATCAGATCCTGCAAAATCCACCATAAGCAAAATTATGGGCTCCCATTGGAGAGATCAAGTGTGAAGTACCCACTTCTAAGACAATCCCTGGAAAGGCCACCAGCCCAGGAGTGCTTGGTACAAATGGATGTTCCTAAGAACAGTCTCCTTAATCAGCATTAGCAAATCTTGTCTGTGCTCCAAATTTCTGATACCCTGAGAAAGATTTACCAAAGCAGATCATTGGTTCTTTCTCTTAATGGATTAGGACAGACTATACCTTTCACTTCAGATAGGGAGTTCTGTCCAAACAGCATTTCTGCCTGCTACCTTAGGGTCAGTTTAAGAGTTAACCTTTCCACAAGGCCTTTGGTTAACCTGAAGGCTTCTGCTTCTGGCTCTTGTCCCTGTCCCCTGCCCCGGGGTAAACTGAAGTCACACAACAGTTCTCTATTTGTTTTGCTCTTCTATTAGTAAATTGAAACTTGACTTCTCTAGGACATCACACAAAAATGAGGGCATGCAGAATTGGATGACCTACAAATACATTACTGGAACAATTATTTGTGTTGTGTTCTCTGTGACTTCCTCAGCACGTGATATTGATATTAGTCAGTAAATGTCAAACCCTACAGAAGTTGTATGATTTCCTGTCCTTTCATGTACAGTTAATGATTGTGCATTGTGGAAGCTCATTCTTTTGCTGAATGAGACACCCCATTAATAACAGACAGACATTATGGTGATAGAATTAATTTTAGTATGTGAGTGAGCCATCATCCAAGACCAAAAATAACATCTTTATTTTCTGATGCTGTATCATTTGTAATAACTCAACTGCATTTACTCCTTTTGTTGGCAACTGATCAGCATCCATGTTGAAGTCTTAAAAATGAAGCACAATCACCTCTTTTCATCCTCTGCGACCTCCTTTCCCTGCTGTGTTTCCTTAAATCTGGTGATGCTACCTCAAGCTGCAACAGAATAGAGAGTAAGACAAAGAGAAGCTCGTAGTAAATATTTTTTTTAATTTGGCCTTGCTCTTCAGAAGGAAAATAACATAGCAAAATGTTATAAGGCCAGGCAAAACACAATCATACATGTCCAAAGTGCTCCTGGCTCTCAACGTTGGACTCGATTTAGAAGGGAAGCATATGTTGCAATGGAGTAGTGATAATCCTCTGTACACAGAAGGGATATGGTCTGTGATTAACAGCAGGTCAGTAAAATGCAGAGCAAGAGCAAGTTGTAAGAGAACCAATACTTCAGATATTGCAAAAGCGGGTGTTCTAACAGCACCTCTTTCAATTAGCATCATTATTTTATTAATTTTTATAGAAATAATTTCTAATTACTATGCAAAACTATCACAGCTAACTGTTAAGGGTCCTTTTTTTAAGATGGTAGGACATATAAATATTATGCTCTATGTCTCTTATTTCATTACTAGTCTGTTGCACACCTAAAAAAGATTTCCATTCCTTGTTTTGAGTACAGTTCCTTCTTGTTTCACTTGTTAAGCTCACCAGTTTATCTTCAGTTATGAGCAGGACTTTATGATGGCCCAGGTTCCTAGTACTCAAAAAGCTCTGAACTGCTTCTTAAATTCTGTCCCCATATTCCTTCTATAACTGCCTCTCAAAAGAAACCAAACATCCTTCAAACCCTAGCAAACATGGTTTGGTCAACATGATTCTCCTGGACACACAAATCTATGGGGAGAAATAGTGAGCTAGAAGGAGCTTCATGGAGTATCTCCCAGGATATTTGTCACGGAAGACTGTGTTGCTTGGGCATCTGCACAGCAGTTAACTTGGACTCTTCTAGGGGTGACAAGATGGTGCTTCACTTATCACAGACGTCCATTTCAAAATGAAAATCTGCTAAATTTTGTTTTAGGAGCCTGGTGGTACATGAGTTCTTTCAGAACAGGAAACGGCACTGTGAGACACAGTAGGGTACAAGTGGCACAGTGCAATCCACTGCAAAAGCCAGCACATAAGACTGTGTTTTTCAGAATATATATTTTAGAATTGATGACTCCCATTTTATTTGCACGTTTGAAAAAGCACTGAGTTTTATGGACGCAGTAATTCAAAGAATCATAGAATTTGCTGAGTTGGAAGAGACCCATCAGGATTACCAAGTTCAACTCCCGGTCCAGCACAGGACCATCCTCAAGAGTCAAACCATATGCCTGAGAGCATTGTCCAAACACTTCTTGAACTGAGACAGGCTTGGTGCTGTAACCACTTCGCTGGGGAGCCTGTACCAGTGCCCAACCATCCTCTTGGTGAAAAAACTTTTCCTGATACCCAACCTAAGCCTCCTCTGACTCAGTTTCGTGCAGTTTCCTCAGGTCCTGTCACTGGTCACCACAGAGATCAGTGCCTGCCCCTCCTTTTCCCCTCCCAAGGAAGTTGTAACTGCAATGAGCTCTCCCCTCAGTCTCCTCCAGCTGAACAGACCAAGTGCCCTCAGCTGCTCCTCACACGGCTTCCCCTCAAGGCCCTTCACCATCTTCACTGCCCTCCTTTGGACACTCTCTAACACCTTCTTATCTTTCTTACATTGTGGTGCCCAAACTGCACACGATATTAAAGGTGAGGCCGCCCCAGGTCAAAGCAGAGCAGGACAATCCCCTCCCTCCCCCAGCTGGTGATTCTTTGCCTGATGCCCCCAGGACAGGGTTGGCCCTCCTGGCTGCCAGGGCACTGCTGACTCAGATTCAACTTGCCATCCAGAAGGACCTCCAGGTCCCTTTCCTGGCACTACTTCCCAGCATCTTATGCCCCAGTCTGTACAAACATCTGGCATTGCCCCATCCCAAGTGCAGGATCCCGCACTTCCCCCATTGAACTTCCTATGGTTGGTGATTACCCAGACCTTCAATCTGTTGAGGTCTCTCTGCAGGACCTTTCTGCCCTCAAGGGACTCAACAGCTCTTCCCAATTTAGTGTTATAAGCAAACTTAGTATCTCTTCCTGCCTCAAAGTCATTTATGAAGATGTTGAAGAGCACAGGGCCCAACATGGAGCCCTGTGGAACCCCACCAGTGACAGGTCACCAGTCTGATGTCACCCCATTCACTGTTACCTACTGTGCTCGACCCGTGAGCCAATTGCTCACCCACCACACGATGTGTTTATCCAGCTGTGGGCTGGACAGTTTGTCTAGAGGGACACTGTGAGAGACAGGATTGAAGGTTTTACTGAAATCCAAAAAGATTACATCAACTGGCTTCCCTTGATCAGCTAGGGGGGTTACTTTGTCATAAAAGGAAATCAGGGTGGATAAGCAGGAATTTGCTCTCATGAAGCTGTGCTGGCTGTGACCAATGACTGTGCTGTCTTTCAGGTGTTTTCCAACACCCTCCACAATAATCTTCTCCATAACTTTACCAGGCACTGAATTGAGACTGACAGGCCTGTGGTTTCCAGGGTCCTCCTTCTTGCCCTTCTTGAAAATCGGGACAACATTTGCCAGCTTCCAGTCAGCTGAGACCTCTCTGGATTCCCAAGACCGCTCAAAAATCAAGAGAGGTTTTGCAATGACATCAGCCAGCTCTTTGAGGATTCTGGGATGAACCCCGTTAGGCCCAATAGATTTGTAGGGATCCAGCTGGAGCAGCAGATAACACCCTTAGAAAGCTGACCTTTTAGGCAAGGTTTTGAGTCCTATGAATTCTCACACTTTTAAAAATATGACAGAGGATTCCATACCAGCTCCTTATGCTCTCTCAGATTAAAAAAAAAATGTTGCTAAATGTTCCTACAGTCAGGGAGGCAAAGCTTTCCCCTACAACACAAGTGGCTGCTGCCAATATTTCCAGTTGTGTGATCGTGCACAGAAATAGTAAGAGAAGACAATACACCTCTAAGAAAAAGAGCAGGACGAAATTGTGTAAGTGTACATCATACATTTATTACTGAACAACTCTCTCAACTCCAAAATTGGGCACAGGGATTAAAAATAAAAATTCATTGCACTACCTAGTAAAGCATTACTAGTAACTCTCATAAAAAATGTACAAATTTTGTTAAAAATTTATCAAGCCTTCAAATGATTTGGTTACAGATATTTATAATACATTTAAAACTACATGTTAAATGATACAATAGCATATGACTTAAAGAAAACACTTAACAAAATATGATTCCAACAAAACCCATAAGCTTTCATAATAATTAGCAAATCTGAAACACAAGTAACAAAATGAGGTAACAATGTACCAAAGGAAAAAACCACAGCTTTTACAAAGGCCCAAAGATAACTCAGTCAAAAATGTTTTCTACAATTAAAACAGTTGGTAAATCTCATCCCAAGTATTATGCAATATATTAAGGACTGTGAACTCACATTCAAGAGCCTGTACAAAATGACATACAACACATGGCCTTACTTCTTTTTGTAAAGAAAGCCACAAAATGAGACACTGGAATTATCTGTAGGCCTTGATATCCACTAAAATGTCAAATTAAATTGACAGTTTATGCAAAAAAACACAGCAGTGCCAATATGATAAAGCAAACATATTAGAGGTTGGGTTGTATTTTTTGTTTGTTTTTTTTTGGAGAAGAAAGAGTCAGTGGATAGCAGAAAGGCAATGAACACAAAAAAGTGTTGCTGAATTCAGGTGCTGTCAGGCACCATGGCAGGCTGTGCATAACATATGGCAGTTCACAGCTGAACATGAATCCCCTCCCTTGACAGCCACCACAGCGAGGATGTGGTTGTGGCTTGTCTGAGCTGATTCAGAACGTAAGCATGTGTGCTGTTTGTACACTAACCACGGGAAGCAAGTCCACATTCATCTGCAAGAGTCCCATGCAAACCAAAGAACCATTCCAGAAGAGATGAGCCATAACAGTGCAACAATTAATTTCAGCATTTTACCAACTTAGTCCCTCCATCTCCTAGATCTCCCACCACCTCAGAGAATTTTAGTGGGGGGGGGAAGGGACATTTCTTCGGTTCCAGAAAGAGAACTACTTCCCCTTGGCTTCAGAAGAATGTGTCTTGTTTACTTGAATCAAGTTTAGAAAAAGTACCCTCTTTCCATGCTTCGAACTGAATATTAAGCACAGTAGTGTTAGTCATGTTTAAATCTGTACACACAGAATTTTTTCTTTTGCAGTTATATAAAAGAGCCTAAGTTTTGTAAGACATGCGTGGCATATGCTTTCTAAACAACATGATTTTTTTTGTTAAAAAAATAAACTTCATTACATGTAATTTAACCTGCTAGGTGCTATTGTGAAAAGCCTATTCTTTAACTCCACAGAAGAGAGGAGAAATTCTATTATTTTGAAGTTGATGTAACAGCATTTTTATTTATTTAGTGTTCCTAAGTATGGATAGGTATAGAAAGCTTGACTGTTTTTGAGAACTACCTGCATAACTAAACAGAGGGAAAAGCATCTGAAATAGGGCAAAATTGTGCTTTTATTTAGCTGCACCAAGAGCTGTGACTGGTCTGCAGAATCTTCAAAGAGGAAAACCAGCATGGAGAACATCTAACACTGTTAGAAATTATAACTGATACTTAAGCATAGCAGCATACAAAAGCATAAGACATGATAAAGAATAACTTAAAGCTGAGACTGGCAGCAAGTTGTAGCAATACTGGTAATTGTGCCACTTGTGCTGCTGCAACCAAAGTAATGACACCGAACTTAGGAAAAGAATTTAATTGCAAAAAGTGCATCCTTTTAATAACTGTGGTGTATGCAGGCCTAAATATTTTGCTAAAGCATATCAGAGATGTTAACAGTGTGAACATTACATAGAAAGCTAATATTATTCCGAGCACTTGAACAGAGATTATCCCCTTCTATTTCACAGCACTGTTTTGGAAGGTGTTCCATTTTTTCCTATAGCGGAGTGCTCTGGAAACTTGATTGCAAAAATGGAGGGAATTCCTTCTTCCATTTACACTCGCCATTAAATAAGGAAGGGCAAGAAGCAGCATCAGGGCAACTGAATTCTGCAGTTAATGACCAAAACCTACCTTCTCTTTTGATACAATGAAAAAAATATAAAATTTTACTTCTCTGAGAAAATGCTAAAAATTGTATTTTATTCATGAAGTTGCAGGAATAAAATTGTAACCTTTTACAAGTTATTTTAGTTACATACAAACTCCCTTGTAGGTGACAAAGAATGTGTGTATATAAGCTAAAAGTTGATGACCTTAGCAAGTACAATGGCCAAAAGTTAAGAGCTGTTCCACAAGAGCCTCAGTGTCCTTTCTGATTCCTTTCATGGAAGAAACACATAACTGGCAAACCCAGCTAGAAAAATTTAAAGGGAAAACAGAAGAACATTGATATTCATATTAGCAATTGAAAATGTTAATATTGCTAAATGCAATATTGCAACTCTACATTGATAAAATAACTTGTAAATCAGCCATTTAAAAATCCAGACTTTGTAACATATGATAAAAACCCCAAGGTTACTCATGTATGAACAATCAATGCATTCTTTAGTGGTACACACTTAAAGCCTCCAATGAAGGGGAAGCATAACAGCTGTTTGAATAGTAGGTAGAAAGGTCTTTACACCTGTAAGTACATTGGGGAGGAAATACTAAATGTCTGTAATTGCTGCACCCATCGCATTCAGTGTGCAACTGCAAACAAGGAAAGGAACCAGTGTACAGTACTAGTACTGTTTAAATAACACACAAGATTATACATTGCAGCATAATTATTACTACACACATACGTTCTCAGTACATGCTGGTATATAGGTTCTCAAGCACACAGGCACACTCAGTCACAGGCACACTTCACACATCCTCTCACAGGCAAACACACACTCACACCATTCACTCCCACTCACAGTATCTGAAGGCTCTATATAAGGTAGATTGCTATATTGTTTGGAGCTACCACTTTTTTTTTTTCTCCTTTTTCTTTCCTATAAAAGCACATGCTAAAAGATCACATCCACAGTAATCTCGCAGCAATACTCGGAATGATCACACAGAACCCAGGGAATGTTAGTGCACACACAAAATTAAGCTAAAAAAAAAAAAAATCTTTGGAGTTCCAATCACACTGTTAGTATAACAATCCCGTAACTGTGAAGACTAGTTATAAGCTTTATAATTGATTAAGTCACACAGTGCAAAGTAAGGTCCATTGACCCTTTTGTGTAAAGGGTAGGCTGGAAGCCACATGGGTAAGTTCCATAGAGAGTTCATATATACATGTGACCAGAAACACCCAAACCAGATTTGTGCTCCTAGGTTGGTCATTCTGAATCACGATGCACTTCCGAAGCATCAGCTCTACAAATTGGGCAGGTACGATTCGCCTGTAAAACCAGAAGAACAGGAGGGGTTACTGGACTGACAAATACGTTGCTAAAGTAACGTGACACTCAACATCTGTGACTGGTGAAGAGCAGTTCAAGAGTACCCTAAATGAGAAGAGACAAAGTGTGCTTACGCCTTTTTTCAGTTTGTTTTGTTATGTTAGGAGTGGTGTGGTGAGTTTGCCGATTCAAAATCGTTCACAAGAAAAAAAATAAATTGTGACTTTTATCTTTAAAGATCGAGCAAAACAACAAACGGGCTCTGTCTAAGTGATGGTGGTTTTAATAATGCAGACTCACAGCTATGGTACATTGCCATCAGATGGATGCAGCTAAGAAGCAGTACTGTGTGCTGCAGCAAAACCCAATGAAACAAGATGAGCCACCTTGGGCTGCAAATAAACATCTTGTAGGAGGGTGTCATGTTGTCACAAGCTCTACTGATCAGGAATGACATCAAGCTTTGTTTATTCAGTTACTGTCACAGAAAAACATCATATAGATTTGGTCAAAGTTGAAAGCAAACCAGGGAAAAAGGCAAGGGGTTTTAGTAAAAGGAAAGGGGAATTAAAACAAGAAAGTTAAACAAAGAGAAGATGACCTGACTAAACACATATTCAAGTCTAGATTTGGCTCTTCAGTAAAGCACACACTGAAAACATGTCCTGTGACTCATTTACTTTTATAGCTTCCTTAAAAAATAAGACAGATGAGAAGTAACATGCCTTAAGCTACTGGGAAAGTATTTCTGCCTTCTCATTCCCCTTTTCAAATAATGGTTAATTTCATTTTAACCAATGATGAGAAAAAGCCCCAAACAAACACACAACATCTATGATTAAACATTTCCTTTGCAAAGGGCAGAGTGAAGGGAACCCTTCCCTGCCCCAGATTCTATATTTCATAGTTATGAAAACTGCAGGACCAACCACTGTCAATTCCAAGTCTTTCTAAGGAAACCAAAATTTTCAATGAAAATACAAGTGACAAGTATCAAAAAAATGTGGCTCTATAGGCCAGAATTTAGAACTCACTGTCACAAATCTCAAATCCAAACAGTAACTAAATCCAGTGAAAGTAACAAGTTTTTACTGAAAAACATTATTTAGTAATGCAAGTTAAAATGAGGGTATATTTTTCTGTTACTACTGATTACTACTGTTATCACTGGTTTTGTAAAGTATGGATTGGAGAAACAAAAATTTATTTCTCTATAACTAGCAGTTTTGAAATATACTTGAGGACAACGTCATTATTTGGTCACTTCATTGTATGTGCATGATTCTAGATACAATCTGGCTAATATAATTTTTAAAATAAAGAGGCATGTCCTTCAAAATGCAATGGATTAATGAATCAAGAGCTATTCACTTAGGTCAACAATGAGGTAGGAACCATCTGTACCACAGAACAGCATTCAGTGGGAGCAATTTCCTGATAGGAATTAAAGAAATAAACTTACTGTGCCAGGATAAGATGAATACTCATGGACACCACACCACTACTCCTCTAGCAACTTTTCAAGATCCTACACGAACATCTGTTTTAAATTTAGTTGTATTTTTGTGCCTTTCAATAAATAATTCCCCCTTCCCGGCATTTAAAATGACTTCTATGGTGTCAAAAGAGGAGTAAGGTAATACTGACCTTTTAACTTGCCACTCTTTCAGGTAGATTTACTTTTTGTACTGTAATGAGAGAGTGCTGCACAACAAACCCATCTACTTTTTTTTTTTTTTATTTTATAGAAATTTATAGTTAAAGTGAACTGCATTTAAAATAGTAAAACTATAGAGCTACTGAAATACTCTAAAAACCACTGCACTACTTTGGTGTTAGTCCATCAGAAATAAGCCAAAGTATAGTTACAGTTCGTCTTTTCTCATATATAATACAGCATTTCCTACTAGACCATTAAATAAAAAGGCAAGTAGTTCTTTTAAGCTGGTTCTAAACCCCCTAGGTGAAAACAGGTCAGTGTCAAGTTTTCCTTTGGGATGATAACTGTTACTTCATAGAAGAACAGATTTCCCATGTATTCATATTTGACTAAAGGATCTAGGATAATAAATAAACAAATACTGTGAAATATGAGAATTGACAATACCATGAAAAGCTAAATAACTTTCCTCTTGTTTCCTCCATTGTATTAGATCTTCTCTCATAAGTCTTTAAACCTGCTTGACCAGGGAACTATTAATTAAAGTGGGCAGCCTAACAGACTGTTATAGGACATTTTCTCTCACTTGTTCATGTTACCTAAAAAATTAGTACTGAATATAGCATTATAGCACCTAGGCAGATCATATATGTCATGCATACAAGCCACAAAACTTTGTTAGATAGCTTTTTTCCCCTCTATCACTACCAACAGGCAGCAGAATCAGAATTTTTTTTTAAATAATCAGATTGGATCACTAACCTTTTATTTAAATCTTTCACTAAGATGACACATGATGAAACTTAAAAAAGAATCAACTCGACTCCATAGTTCTAGAAATATTCCTAAATAGCAAATACTTTCTTCAAAGATACAAGATCAAATCAGTAAAACAGTGACAAACTGGTTAACTTTTTTCTTTTTTTACCTTGTTGAAAAACGTTACAAGTACTGAAAGCTATGATTTCTACTTTCCCTTGCAGAGTTTATCAACATGATGTTGGCTGGATGACATGAATTAAGTGGATCTGGACATAATTATACAATCAACACATTAAAAAAGTTGTCAAATTCATGAAAGAATGGAAAGAAACAAAACTAAAGCTCAAAATATCTTTCAGTTATCCTAACTTCCAGATGTTGGCTGCTTAACTGTAAACGAGGTTAGACAGAGGCTGTAACTAAAATAGACTGGTGTCACAGGTAATTTGTTACAGCTTGCAGAGTAAAATAATCTTATATATACCATCTTTCTACTGCTGTAACTGAACCCAAATAGTGTAAAAGTACTGTCTTAGCAACCCTACTTGGTGATGGTTTAACCTTGTCTTGCTTATTGTGCACTCAGCTCTGGAACACATGATGTCAGTGCAAGCAGTTTCAGTGGGTTTAACTGCAGCCCTTTAGGGTTTGATTGCATACCTTACACCTCATTCTAAAGACAATCTTTAGAAAATACCATGTGATGATCTGTTAGAAAATGCAGTTTCTAAAACAGGACAGGAACATCAGCAAAGCTATTTCACCACTACTATAGTACCTCTATGATTATCAAAACAGACTAAATCCACTTTTTTCACTTTACAGTTCCGAATTCTATTCCCAGTTCATTACCACTTGAAAGGACTAACTCTAATGTACCACATGGAGTCCCAAAAAAGCATAACTCAACATACTTGTCTGATTCCTGAGTCCAATGTCAGGTACAAAAGAGCACTAAGAACAAGACAAGCATGCATGATACTTCCCTGACATGTTCCTCTAACTTCCAGAAATCTGCAGATCAGGGATTCTATGAATCAGAGGTATGTTTTCTTGCATTAATAGCCTGGAAAGAGCTGGTTTTAAAAAAGTTTAGATAATCAACTTAACCTGTATAGACCTATAGTGTCCACTATCTCAAAGGCTGTGTCAAATGATCTTAGTATTTTTTTTCATAAAATGCAGTGAATGCTATCCCTGGATACTTAATGTCCACACCACAACTGACTTATGAAGTTTCATGTAGTGAGAATACTGACACACGTAGTATGAACACTGCTCAAGAAGAGTAGGGGGACACTGAAGAACACTACTTCAATATATATATATGTATATGATCTACTCTTAATTTGTAGTTAGTGAATAAAACAGCATACATCTAGCACAGATATATTGATAATATTATGTGGAGTGGGTGCGTGTACATGGCTTTTTAATCTGACAGTAAAACAACCAGATGTTTAGATTCCTCTTGCTGATTCTCGAGCATGTATGTGGATTCAGATACTGAAGGACACCTGTTCTAATGAAAGCTATGACCACTGTTGTAGAAATATTTACTGACCCTAGATTTAGTAGGAGCCCTAGACCTAGCCTACCAAAGGTAGCTCAAGGGCAATTTCATATCCTACTTTTTAAAGCCCCTCTCATTATTCTTGGTATCTTGTTAGCCAAAGGAATGCTGTCAATATTAACTTGATTTTTTCTTTCTCTGAATATTTTAGTGTATGCCTAAGATATGTATTTTCCCAGTTTTATGATGTCATAAAGGCATTTAATTTCTTCTTCCAAAACAACTGACATCATCTGTAATTCTCTAGGGACCATATCAACATAGGATCATTGCAGTTCCCAATGTTCTATGCAACAAACTACACACAGATCAAAGTTGAATAGAATAAAATACTGAAAAAAGCTGAGGCAAGATGGGAATCAATTCCTCGTTGACAGTAGATCTGGCTAAATGCAGCCCTGTAGAAATGTCTATCATCATCTACTTATTTGTATTTCTTGTTCTGCACATCTTCTGCATTGCTGCTATTTAATCTGTGCTCTTACTGGGCTGTCCCGATTCTAGAGCCTTTCTTTTTTGCTCAAATTCTCTTGGATGGGTATGTAATATTGTAAAACTATAATTTCTATTTGCATATATTAAATTTCTGTACATACGCATACACATATACGTACACGCATTAACACATTTTATTTGCCTCAGAAACTAATATTAATAGCAAAATGTGGAAGGAAAGGTATTGGTACTCATTCTTGCTAGGTAAGCTACGTAGAACAGTTAAAGTCACCATCATCATGAAACTCTACATCACACTTTCTGTATTATTTACATTTTTTCCAAGTCTTCAATATCACATATTACTCAAATTCACTGTCATTGTTCTAAAGAAATGGAAAACATAGTAAGATCTGTCAATGAAAATAATTCTCTTCGTATTCATTTTCCCTTGTGCCAAAGATTATACAGAAGCAACCTTCAACCATTACTAGAAAAATACCCTATTTAGGCAGTGCTTCCACTCTACTGGCATTTCTAGCCTACGTATCGGAAACATAAAACAAGATGAAATGTAAGTGGAACAGCAAAATACCTCCACTCTCTCCCCCAAAACTAACTAATGCATTTCATATAAGATAGGATTATTTTTTCTTACCTTCAGCCATTTATCAACACACTTGGCATGGAACTCATGGTTACAGGGTAAGACTCTAAGTAGCTGCCTTGACTCAAAATCACACATGCACACCACACATCTGAAAAAGACAACAAAGTTCAAGTGTACCTGCTACGTAAGAACAACAAACACATAATTCCATGTAAAACCTTACAGGTATGACTGTGACACGGTAGCTATTTTACTTCTTCAGTAGCTACGGTGATCTGTATCTAACAATGTAAACTGAGAACTGACTCTGGGGTTTTGTGGGTGGGGTTTCTTTTTTGTTACTGTGCTTTCAAATCACAAAGCAAGTGCTCCAGCTCACGGGAGCTCACAGATGCAACCAATACAACAGAACAGACATTTTACCAAAATCTAAAATAGCAGAAATAATAACCTGCAAAGATCTCTCCCTACTGACGCTTTTAAGTCACACCAAAGGTCACGGATCAGAGAAGAAGCCTTATGCTGAAGTTCAAACATTAGATAGTATTTGGTACTAAGTCACTTAAACTACCTTCATATTGATACTGCCCTTTCCACCTGATTGTGCAGATCCTACAAACCCAGTAAGTTAAGGGGTTTTAAAAAAAGAAAAGATGCACTCCTAAACCACTGACCAGGCTCTACCAAGAGAACTTCAAACTTCCAACACTTGAAGCTGTTTTAACAGAAGCTAAAGTCCAAGTTGACAATGTCACTTTAATGTTTAGTTGCTGAACCTAGAACACCTCACTTCCATTTAATTTTTTTAAATGCTGAGGAACTAAAAGAAACATAGCTAAATTATGCGAGACTAGATAAGAAGTTTTAAAGCAAGAATAAACAGTATTGGAAAGCACACCAAGAAAAAGAAAATTTAAAAAGCTTACTGACATGACTGCTGTTAAAGCCCTTCTGACCTAGCTGAGGCTGCAAGTTAAACAAATAAAAATCAAGCCACTTAAATTATGGACCTTTGAAAGAGACCAATATACTTACAGTGTCTGCTCTGATTGGTGATTGTTTGGATTGAATCTGTAGGATGGAAGCTGTTCAATGTCTGCTTTTGTCAATCCCCGTGGTTTGGCTTCTCCCAGACGTTCTGCCAAATTCAGCAGTGCCTGCAAAACATGGAAACTGGACATTTAAAAATTCACTGGCTCTGGTTTCACTAGATTTGGGGCTACCATCACACCTCACTACCCCAGCTAGTAGCACAAAACACCCTTCTATCAAGAAATGTTTAGAATCTTAGTTTTCTGATACAATACAAGCTCCATGGAAAGTCTTTCAAAACTTAACCATTTTTGTAATTATGTAAAGTCTTATCTTTGGGATTTCAGAACATCCAGAACCCAACTTCCAATTAGTCCTATGGCTGCATGCACAGCTCAGTAAATAATTTGCTTCTGAGGGATCCCCTCACCCTGCTATCAAATTAACAGTGCTGGTAACCAGATATTGTCAACTAATTTTCTCCCTAACAATATGTGAGTCTCCTCTTGTGAGAGAAATCAACAATTTAATGGGACACAGTTTCTGATTTCCACTCCATGTCTTGGGCTAGCTGAATTAAAATATGGAGATTTTATCCTCAATCTGGACAACAAATATATACCACCAAATTTTAAGTGCTTTTTTTTCTGCCAAATTTTTAATTTTCTATAAACCAAGCATTGCAGGTAAAATCCTCTCATGCACATAACTGGCAGTCTGTCATATATGTAACTCACACTCCTTCACAAGGGACCTAGGCAAAACATCAAAATAAATGTGACAGAAAACCAAAGCACAGAAAAGTTAAAAGATCCTGTGAAAGCTGCAAATGGTACTGATCACAAAGAGAGTTCTTATACTGTTGAACCTAGGGTTCAAATTCTCAGAAGACATTGCTTCTGAACCACCACAGAAGTTATTACAGAAGTGCTCATTGTTAAAATAAAAATGTGCAACTACACAGAGATCTTAAGGGGAACACAGGCAGAGAGATGCAAAAGTCAGGGTTGGGTTGATGACTGACTGAAGAGAAATCAAATGGAATCAATCAGCAAAGACACAACAATTGGAACTGCCCCATAATTATCTAAGATATTTAAGAGGGTTCTACATCTCTAGATGTGAATTACCACACCCTCCTGAGGGCCAAGAAGAACAGGGAGTAAGGCAGTTTTATAAACATTACACTTAGATTAATCAATCCTATGACATTAAAACTGTTCTGTATTAACACTATTCTGAAAGTTACACACACAAACCCAGTGACTTACCCTGTTCTTTTGAAAGTGTTTCACTTCTGTTAGGTATTTAAAATCAATTAAAATTTAAAAGGAGAATAGTAGCATGTAGAGCATAAAAGCTGAACAATTTAATGATTACTAGCCTGGAAAGGTGGATTTTGGGAAACCATAATAGACAAGAAAGAAAGCTAAGCACTTCTAATATCCAGTATTACAAAAAAATCTGAAAGTATGGTTTTTGATTCCATCTTCACAGTCATTATATTTATTTGAAAGGCAAAACCAGGATTAAAAGTAAAAGATAATAAAATTTTATCTATTGCTTGAGCTAATATCTTTAAAAGCAATTGTAGTTCACACACCAACCTCATAGTTTTCTACCTCTCCATCTTCCACATCCAACTCAAAGCTGAAAGCTGGTCCAACTGCAGGTGGCACTGGGAGCATTGATCTACCACGAGAGCAAACAAGGATAAGGTTCAGCATCTTGCTGAAGTAAAGCACAGAAATATCTGGCAGAGGTAAAGCTATGTTATTGATCTCTCTTAAATCAACATGTTACCAAAACTGGTAAAAATGTTATGTTTGAAGTCAAGAGCAGACATTTGAAGTGAAAGAGTCACAGGAAAAAGCTAGTTCTGCCACTTTTTGTTACTGGGAGTGCTGACTTTTCAGTTGCATGCATGTCTCCCTTGGTACTTTCAACCAAGCTCAGCTTTATTACAAAAATTACTCTCTTAATTATCATAGACTGTGGAGAGTTAAAACTAAAAAGAAATTGACATTTTTGTTTTAAATATGTTTTATTTCTTTAAGTGGATAAAATACCATCAAAGAAAAAGAACCCTAAGTTCACGTAGCTCTCCAATACAAAAGTCTTGCAACTTTTGTAAGCCTAAAACACACAATGAAGATAGACATGATCTGCTACTGGACCAACTTCCATACTGAAGTCAAGCACAAATTCACATACTGTGATGTTGGTTAAAGCAGAATCCCTTCGGATAGGTATGAGATGTTTTTCTAGTTGTATATTCAATAAGTGTTTTTACCCCCCCAAGATATACTATGGGTCAAAACTTAAGGCACACACAGAAATCAAAAATTCAAAGCACTAAAATATACTAAAATCCCACTGAAGTCATCAGGAATTCCTGTGCCACACTGTGTCTTCTACAGACAGGCAAGAAGCTATGACATTACTCTCAGACTGGAAGATGCAAACTTGAACAACTTTGCTGAAACAGATTTCTGGTGCCATTTTCATGCCACATCTGACATTGTGCACAGAGGAACTACAGATCTGATGTCAATATTTGATTATTTCCTTGTCAATGTCAACTTTGCCACCAGAAACTTAATCTTCATTTTCCAAACATTTTGTACTTACAGAACATAGAGACTAATAAATTTCATGTCAAAAACCCAAACTGCCTCGCAGAAAGTCTGCCATAACACACTATAGCTAATTTCTGAACGTTAACTGTCCCACATCTTTTACGAAACAGCTAAAGAGGCAGAACAGAAATTTAACAGCTGTAATAGAGTAGCAGTTCAGCCTATAAAGGCTGAACACGTCACAGAAAGCTCTCACTCTTCTGTTTCATAATTAAGAACCAAACCAAATTAATTTATTCTCTAAGTGAAGACTCCTATGACTTGATCCTACAGTGTAACCACGTCTCTGTAAGAGCATCACATATCCAAGATTTAAAATTTGGTCAAGATTTTAGGAAGAGTTCAGAAACAGAGGCTGTCGTGTCTCAAAATACCTAAAAAACTACATTGGACAAAAATTGTTCACTTATATTTCTCCTTGCTCAAGGGTGTATGCTATTCAAAACAGGCTGAAAAATTTACATAGAAATGAAAGTTTTCCTCTGAGACAGGTGAACTGTGCCTGGTCTCTGGCAGAGAGACCAACCATAAAAAGTGCCAGGATGCCTGTTGAAAGTCACATGACTTAATAGCCTATATGGAAGCAAATGTACTTTACACTTACAGCACATAAGGTAATAGGCTGGGATGGTAAGGGTGTGGTGGTATTGGCTGCTGTGATCGGTATCTGCTGCGCCCTGTGAGTCTTCGAGGCATAAAAGGTGGGTAAGGCTGCAAGAAAGAAGAAAATAAGCTTCAACTGGAACTTGTGGAACTGGAACTTGTGTCCAGTTCTGGGCTCCCCACCACAAGACAGACAGGGACATACTGGAGAGAGTCCAACAAAGGGTCATTAGGAGGGGACTGAAGCATCTCACGCGTGAGAAAAGGCTGAGAGAGCTGGGATTGTTCAGCCTGAAGAAGACAAAGCTCAGAGGGATCTTATCAACGTATACAAATACCTGAAAGGGAGGGTGCAAAGAAGACGGAGCCAGGCTCTTTTCAGTGGTGCCCAGTGGCAGGACCAGAGACATTGGGCACAGACCGAAACACAGGAGGCTGCGTCTGAACATCAGGAAACACTTCTTTATCATGAGGGTGACTGGGAACTGGCACGGGTTGCCCAGGGAGGTGGTGGAGTCTCCTTTCTTGGAGATACCCAAAAGCAGGCTGGACATAGTCCTGAGTAGTCAGCTCAATCCTGCTTGAGCAGGGGGGTTGGACCAGATGACCTCCCTTCCAACCTCATCCAGTATGTGAGCCTGTGATTCAACACTTTCTTTTCTTAAAATCTCCTCTCTCAGTACTGAAATTCACTTTTAATAAAGTATTATTTAAAAAATCCAGTCTCTGCTCAAATCCAAAAGAACCTCGGCCTCACTTTGAAATTATTCCTATCTGTAATGTACAGTCATACCATTCCATGTGAAAAAGTGGTAATATACAAAAGAAATCCTTGCAAGTTCTGGTGTTTTTAGTCTATATGCAGGATAGTTTGGGAAACAGGACATGAAGTGCTGACTCTCTTGTAAATATAAAAGCCCAGGTGCTATTATGTGGGCCTGTGCAAAAATGGTTGAGTAAAGAAGCCCTTAGAAAAGTCTTCAAATAGCAAATTTTATTTTTTTTTTTTTTTTTAGAAAGCCCATCTTTTAAGTAGTAGTATATATTTACATTTAGGTTACAGTTGTTGCAGCCTTTCAAGTGTACATGGAAAGTTTAATCAGTACAGTTTCTGCAGCTGGACCACATCTGAAGAGACATTCAAAGCCTAAAGTTTCAATGGTTTCTTTCCAGGGATAAATCAGGGCTTTTTTTGTCATCCTTGTTTTGTTAAAATTTTTTAGTATTTTCTACAACTGAAAATCATGTACTCCTATTGAATTCACATTTCAAGGCCTTGAAGCTTTTTTTTTGAAACAAAGAACACTCAAAGTCTTTAGTAAGATGTTTTTCTTCCTTCATGTTTGAAATCTGAAAGCACAAAAGGCCACCACCACCACCGACTAACCTAAAATCCTCTTATTTTACAATGGAAACTTTTTTAATAGGTAGCCATGGTCAAACATAAAATTAACATATGCATACAAACACAATGCAAAAGAGCCAAGGTATTTTTGCTTGGAAGTTTCAGACTAGACATATCCAACATGAGTTTTTCTGCTTTGTCAATTCTGCAATCCAAAAATGTAATTAGAAACTGTCGTGTTCACTGAATGAAAGAGAATCAGAAATGCAGCCATACCATTATAATGTTAATATAAATAAAGCTTTATAAAGATTTAGGATTGCTGTATAAAAGACCCCATGATTACTTGTAATATATATTTATTCTACTCCTCAGTACTGAAGCATCAGAGAGGACAAATGCTACAATCTGCAAAAAATTTTACGTTCCTTATCTACTTTAACAACTGAACTTGGAAATCAAGAAAGCCTCACTCCAACCGAAATGTTTGTGATTATACTAATTCATCCAACAAGAATACTGAATAAAATACAAGCAGTTTACAGAAGCTTTTAAGTGTCTTCGTCTCCAGAGCAACTCATGGTGACTGAAAACTTAATTGAAAATCTGTACACCTTCAGATTAATTAAAAAACTGAAGAGTTTTTTAAATGCTGGAAACTTATTTGAACCTTTATAAAGATCACAGCAAGCATTTGACTGGATTCTGTGATCAAGGAGACTAAGACAAGCTATCTGTATATTCTGCAGTTGCAGGGCCTGAAATTTCATTCTCATTTAAATTTTAAATAACCATAAACCTCTAAGCCTCTAAAATCTCTGTCAACTTGATGCACAAGTCAAACATTAAAAAATTTCAGCACCTTTACCTGACTTCTAGTTATTTCTTTGAGCATCACACAGGCAGGAAAGGTTTTTATTTTTAAAAAAAGCAACCCACACAAACAACAACAACCCCACCCATTTCAAGACTAACGTAATTCCAGGCTGAAGTACAACACAAAAAGATCCTGGAGGTAGCACCACAGGAAACACCACAGAAGCACACAATTCAACAAAAATTCAACACGGACTTTATCCTGCATCAGGTTTAATAGTTTTTTGTGCTGCTGCAGATGAACTGCCTGTAGGTGCCCAGGAAGCTGGCTCAAAGCAAGCTTTGTGACATAGCTACCTTTAAAACATAGCATGGTCTAAATTATGGAAGCTCTCTGTACAACTGCTTGCAGAGAAAAACTGTTTTTAAAGCATTCTAGCCTTCCTGATTTGTGGAAACTCAACATATGACTTATGATGAACAATTAGCTGAAGGTCACAACAGCTTTTATAAACTGTACTAATCAGTTTCTGCTGTAGAAGTCCTGGACTGTGTGACAACATGGAATGTTTTCTAAGTAAATGCTGCTACACTCTGCAGATAATGTTATCGAAAATAATTTGCTGGTGGTTGTCAAATTACCCTTAACTTGATAAACACAAACTTAAGAAAATACCACAGTATGCAGCTACACCAATAATGGAACACGTCCGCATAAAGTGCCACTTTTCAACAAAACGTACTACAGAATAAAGATCCAGAATGTTATTGCAGTATGAATGAGAATGCAGCATAGAAAAGAATACTTACTACACCAAATGACACCTCCTGGTGTAATGGATCGTGCGTTAAGAATTGAAGAGGAGCTGAGGGAGGCAACGTTGGTGGATGGGCTGAGGGAGGGTATGTAAAACCTCCTACAGGAAGGTGTTCTCCAAGCAATTCTACGTCATTTTCTATTCTTTGAAGTGGCTAAAAAAAAAAACCAGAGATGTCCTTTGTTGCAATAATAGAGATGTAATTTTTCCCCAGTAAAGAACTGCAGTCCAGCTACGTATATTCTGTGCTGCTGTGATCAGTTTTTTAATAATCCTGTGAACAATTCCTAGGTCATTAACACTACCCAAAAAGCAATGACAACACTACACATTTGATATAAATTCACCTTTTCCAGCTAGCCATGCTTATAGACCAGGAATTTATGCGATCTAGCAAATACAGGAGTGGCTGTAATTTCCTGTGTCTTGCATTTTTCAGGACAAATATTTGCTCTCCCTCTTGCCAGGCTGCTCTCACTGTACAACTATGCAAGAGAAAAAAATAAACAACCATAGACGAGAACTGAAATTGTGCCAGAAAAACTTAAAAGTGGAAAAATGGCAGCTCCAGTTGATTAAACAGCTAATGATATCCAGTAACCAAGCAGATGCTTTCCTAGGGGGGGATCATGCAAGCAGTCTTACCAAGACAAGCAGTCCAGAGGCTTCAGAAGCATGAGATTCCAGATTGTAACTAGTCAAGTCTAGTACATCAGTCAGGTTCAAAAGCACCCAAGAAACAACCAGGAACCATCAGTTTCATAAATACACCTCTCTGAATGACACTGAGATCTACCATTTCAAGAAATTCAGCTAAGAAAGCCACCTTGTGGAGGCAAAGGAATATTCTGTTTTCCTGTTATGCAGAGCAAACTTTAAACACAAGGTATTCTTAAACCACTGCAATGCAAGCTTTTTCACCAGAGCTGAAAGTTAACAGGCAACCCTAGTCAATAACTTAAGTAAGCAACTCAAGCTAAAACCCAAGTCCATACATTTTCTAAAGGTCTTACAAAGATAGCTACCACTGGAAACCACTTTGTTACGATGATGGTAGCTCTTCTCCCACCATTGTGACAAAGTGATTACAACCCTGTCCACACCTGAGACATGGCATGAAGAAGTCTCAGCATTGTTTGTAACATTGAAACTATTTCCTATTTCTGCATTTCTGAAATATCTGCATCTTCTAGTCAGAGGGGCAAACAAAGGGACACAGTACTCAGGTAACCATACAGTAAGAGTCATAAACCAGAAAGGTAATCCTAATTTCCCCCTAAATCCAAAACAGGATCACATTTCCCCATGTTTGCATAGTCCCTATCACTAAGCCACATCTGCTTAAGCAGATGGCATCAGTAACTTTTGTAAGTGTGAAAAAAATGTTCTAGGAAAAGCACCAGTAATTTTAAAAACTGAACTAGACTTAATACAAAAGAAGCATGTAATGAAAGTAACATTCTGTGCTTTCTCCTTTCTCTGCTAAGCTCTTCTCTGAGACATGTACTGTGCTACACAACCTCCAATGGATTCTATTCTGCTTCCTGGGAAAGAAATACCAGATGGTGAAGCAAACACCCATCTTTCTGACAGAAGTAAAAGCCTATGGAGAAACAGCACAGACAACGATGAAATCTGAAGTGCAACACTGAACTTCAAAAGTACTTTTTCATCTTTATACCAAGCAGTTACAGGCTTAAAACAAAATCCTTCTGTTCCTCAGTCAGGTATCAATCAGTACTATGCACCCCACCAGTCCTACAGAGAGTGGGGTAAGAGGCATTACTTACCGACCGTGACTGCTGTGCTTGGAAAGGAACGAATTGTCCTGGAGGAGGCAAGTGAGGAGGGTGGTGTGTAGATATATGAGGAGGATGCAAAAGGAATGGGTCACTAGAAATGAGGGGTGGAAATGCTGCATATGGTACAGGTAGGTGCTGGACTGAGCACGCCTGAAGCATCTGAAATAAAGTGAAAACAATAAATTTTTGTCTCTAGCACAAATATTCCCTACACAACATTCTACATTCTATGTATTTATTATGGAAAGATATCATTAAACAGTTTTTCTACCTCCTTGGAAAAGCCTTCAAAATATACATAAATAATAACTCATTCAAATACACAAGGAGCAGTGATTAGCACAAAACAGGCTCTAGAAGCACCACAGTTGACATCTGCTAGGTGCTCGTAAGGTCACTGGGAGCTAGGATTTTCAATACTCCAGGATTAGACAGCCTCCTAAGTGACGAGCAGATACATTTATCCTAGTCCGTTTTATTTTTGCCAAATATTACCATCAAAACAACATGCCAAAGCAATGGCACCGCAACCATTTTAAGCTCTAGATGCAGCAGAGGGACTCTCAGCTGCCAGACTGTGCCTAAAAACCTCTGTTGCCTCATATATTATAAATAATTCTTATGGTCTGCTCAGTTCTGCACTTCGAGGTGAGTCCTATGCTGTAAAGGCAGCTCCCTCAGTGACAACTACTGTGCGAAACAGCCCTTTTCCTCTCCTCCTTTAAATTCCTGACAAAAAGGAATTGTCAAAATTGACAAAAAGGAATTTGTGCCCAAAAGCAGCTTTGGGCACAAAAGTTTGAACACTACAGTGGCGAAGGCACTGAAGGGCAAGAGGAATGTACTTTGTGAAAGTGTTCAGTTTTACTTCCACCTTCAGATATGAAGAAGCAAGAAACCTGCATTCTCTTTTTTCTCGCTTTTGATCTATCATCCGAATGTCAGGCATTTCTGTTACATTTCTGGCAATTAAAAGAGCAATTAATGAAGATATTTGTTATCAAATCTTACAAAGAAAGTTGATCCAGTTCTGATCTCTCACTTTTTTTTCCTCATTAGTCATGTCACATAGCATATATTGTGCCGATTGACTATAAGGGCATAAAATGGTAAAAGGAACTAGTTTAAAATCTGATTAACAGTAGTGAAGGTGGAACTATCACCTCAATTTACTGTGATCATGACCAAACATAAATCTTCACATGTACTGAAATAGTAGCAGATTAATTTGATCTGACTCCTATTTTTCTTTAAGTGCTGACTATTCTTTACCTTCAGTTACTACCTCATTTTTCTAAAATAGGAATACGACAGACAAGTGTTTCCATTGTTATAATAAATTTTTACTGTATTTTACTAAATTAAAAACTTTCTTCTGAAATAGCTGGAGATAAATTTGCATGTAGGACATCACAGACTGTTGTTTAAAACAGGAGGTTCTTTGGGAAACATCAAAATAGGTTTAATCCCAAAATTCTGTATGGTAAAGATTACCATAGTTCCTATATATGTTTGGAATGATCTATGCTATGTCCATGTCACTTTTTAAAGTTAGAGCAAATGAGGCCATACTAACTCTGAAGTAGGAAGAAATAAAAATTACCTGTTTATTCATTAAGGCTTTTGAAAAACTCCTGCTGTTTGAACATACCATAGAAAGGCCTGAGTCGGACAGGATATTAAAGCTCATCTCATTCCAATTTCCCTGCCACAAGCAGGGACAACTTTTACTACACCAAGTTGCTCAGAGCCCTGTCCAACCTGGCCTTGAACATTTCCAGGGATGGGGCACCCGTGACTTCTCTGGGCAACCTGTGCCAGTGCCTCACCACCCTCATAGTTAAGAATTTCTTCCTAATATCTCATCTAAAGCTACTCTCTTTCAGTTTGAGGCCTTCTCTTTTCCAGGCTGAACAATACCAATCCTCTCAGCATTTCCTCACAAGAGAGGTGTTCCAGCCCTTGTGATCAACTTACTGGCCCTTTTCTGGACACACACCAACAGGTCCATGTCTTTCCTGTGCTGAGGACCCCAGAGCTGGATGCAGTGTTCTAGGTGGGATCTCACCAGAGTAGAGAGACAGAAACCCCTCCCTTTCCCTGCTGGCCACGCTGCTTTGGATGCAGCCCAGGATACAACTGGCTTTCTGGCTTGCAAGTGCCCATTGTTGGGTCATGCCCAGCCTCTCATCCACCAGCGCCCCAAGTCCTTTTTGCCTGGGCTGCTCTCAATCTGTTCATTCCCAGCCTGTGCTGACATTGGGTGTTGTCTAAAGTGCAGCACCCTGAACCTGGTCTTGTTAAGCAACATAGGATTCCCATGGGCCCACTTCTCAAGCTTGTCCAGATCCTTCTGGATGCCATCCTGTCCCTTTGAAGAACTTCTAAAATTGATAAAGGCATTTACTAGCTGACAATTTTTTATTTTATAGCTACATATGCAGTGTGAGAGACAAATATTGTGAAAATAGCAAAAGGAAGTTCACAGATGAAGCTGGTGAGCAAGCTCACATTCTGGAGGGCACGGGCTACCTTTCAGATGTAGAGTCATAGGCTGGAGAAACTGGCTTACAAGGAACTATGTGAAGTGCAAAGGCAAATGGGAAGTCTGGCACTGGGAAAGAATAACTCCATGGAGCAAGAACTCTTTGAGACTAACTGATTGCAGTCAGATTTGCAGAAAAAAAAGTGGGGTTCTGGTCACGTCAATTAGGAGTAGACAATACCCACAATGTTCTCCTGCAGTCAAAAAGGCCTACGGCATGCTGGGATGCATTGGTAAGAATGCAACTAGTGAAACAAGTGAAGTGATTCTGCTCCTCTATTCAGAACTTGAGACACTAATCTCAAGTCCTGTGTCCAGTTTTGGGTGCCTCAGTGACAAAAAAAACAATGACAACATGATGACCAGGAGCTTGGAGCACACTGCATAAAAGAAAAGGTGGTAGAACTGGACTTGTTCTGCTTTAAAAAGCAAAAACTAAGCAAAACCCTTAATACTGTCTGCAACTGTTTCATAAGAGTGGACAGAAAGTACCTGAGTTCTCCTCAAGGCGCAAAAGGAAAGGACAAGGATCAATGGGACCAAGATGCAACAAAGAAAATTCAGAAAGAAAATTCAATCAGATATACAGAAGAAATTCTTCACCATGAGGACAGTCAAACACTGGAGTGGAAGCTTAGAGGGGTTATGAAATCTCCATACTTGGAAACAAATACTGCTTTTAGCAGGTGACCACCAGCTGACCTCCACAGACCCTCCTAACTTAAACTATTCCTTAGTTTTGTGACCTAAGAGAAGAAAGCATAAAGTCTGCCTGCTGATGATACAGAAACTCAACCTTAATTTTTTTATAGTCACTTGTACTGGATCCATTCGCTCAACACACTTGACTAACTGTTGCACATTCACTCCAAACAAATGGCACCTGGACACGATAAATGCACTCATCAATGAGCACCATCAAAAAACAGGTGGTCACACCAAGGGTTTTGTTTCAGTGTCACGTAGGCTCGTTCATGTCCTCAGGTCACAGAATGCACAACAGGAAAAGCTAAGTTACACACTGCTGGCAAATGCATAGCTGGCAGAGACCAACATTATAACAACATTCTAAACATTCACTGGACACTCTACATAATATTTATGTATGATATTACAGATTTATACCAGAAAAAATGAGGGGAAACAGGCTCTGGTGCCTGTTAACATTTAATGGTGAAATTTCTGTCAGAATGCTATGATCTGGAAAGTGGTAACTCTGAGCTGACACATAAAAGTTTGTGAGAAAACAGTTCAAATTCTTTCAAATTCAAAGTTGGTAAATTGGCCAGTCAAGGTACTTAATTTTATTCCCAGCAAGGCACAGGCAGACATCCTTAGTGATGAGTATTTTTATTACTATAATGAGAGTATTTTCAGACAAAAGAGCCCTTTTCAACTTCTAGTGATCTTTCAGGATTTTACTACTTCTCAGAAGAAAACTAACCTTGGAATATCAGACCTTTTTGCATGTAACCATCCCTGAACAAGATCTCCACTGAGTAAGATTTTTTCCTAGGTGACCTGCCAGACTAAAGCCTTAGAAGCTTTCTTCTTACTACAGGAAAGTAGGTAGAATAGCTGCTGATGTAAGTCAGTTCATAAACCAGCTTTAGGTTTGAATTAAAACTCATCGGGACTCTACTACTATAAACAGTCATACTCTATACAGACAGTAGGTAACTACCATATGCTTATCAGGTCTAAAGCCCACACTACTATCCCACTTCAATTTAGCACAGGAAAAACAAAAAAAAGGCTATTTCCAACAGAATTAAAGCCACACAGACACTAAAGCTCCAAGATGCCATTTCTACGACAGATTGAAGCTGGTGTAGTTACAGAGACCCACTTACTGGGGGAGGCACACTGCAAACTGGAAGGTGCTGGCCACTGAAAACCACTGAGCACCCTGGGACCTGCTGAGCGCTGCAGGCTGGAATGTGCTGGCCTGTGCAAAGTGGTATCCCATGTGGAGCCACAGTTGTCACTGTGTATGAAACAGGAACTGTGCCCTGATGGATCTGCAACAAAAGGGGGAAAAAAAAGAGAATTTAATAACTTACTACAAAGTCTCAACAGTGTTGTACAGCACAAGGAGTAAGATAACAAGCTTTTACAAATGTATGTGAAAAATAATATATTCACAATGAAAGTGTAAAAGGAGGCACATGGTTGTAATTTCTGTTCATTAAAATATTTTTATCAATGGAATGTTATTTACTGATCACAAGTTTCTGGGCAAAACTAAGAGGAATCTCTCACCTTAAAATGTTAAAACTTCAAAGGCACCTTAGTCACTCAGAAGCACCTCAGACTATTAGGTCTCTCTGTTCTCCCCCAGGTTAATTGTTATGAAATAAGGCAGTAACTCCCACATAAAAGCTAATCTACAAGTAGCTCAAGAATTTTCTCATTTCTGAAGGGAGTGATTCAATGTTAATTCAGAGACTTGTGTTAAAAAAACAATTTTGCAGATTTTCTTTCTTTTAAAGAGACCAATTTCTTGATTCACTCTCAGGTCAATATTTAAGCTGAACTCCCAAGCTAAGTGTAACAGAACAGCTAACTGGACAGCTGAAAAGGAAAAGTTAACATGACTATGAGGCAGCAAACCCTAACTATCCCAATTTATATTAGGAAACAGCCCCACGTAACCCAATTTTCTAGCTAGTCACATGCCATAAAATTTAATCATCAAACTAAGATCCAAAGGTATTCTGCACCTACAAGCCATGTGGGTTGTTTTCTGTGTTGTTTTTTTTTTTTTACTTGTTCTATTTTGTTGTTGGTTTTGTGGGTTTTTTTTAACTAAACAAGAAATCTCTCATAGTCTAATAACATTGAAAAGGCTTAAGCCTTAGGAAGCACAGATTAACTGAAATTATTTCGAAGCTCTCTCTTCCTTCATGATCTGCTAAAAGGAAACCTACTGGTTTAAACAGGAACAGCTCATTAGGAAGGTGAAAATGAGTAAAGAGAGCTAAACTATTAAACTGGTAGTGTACAGTCAGGCACACAGAATCACACAAATCAGAACACAGATCACTGAACTGAGCTTAAAATCTCAGCCTGTATATCACTTATGACAGAAACCAGTCTCAGGAGAGACACTGACTTTTACCCAGTTCTGCCCCTGCTACAAAAGGTGGGCATACAAAAGTTGGGCATACAGTGCAATGCTGGGTGTGATCATGAAATGTTTATTGCTTACAAAAATAATACTAAAAAATGATGTCTCATCATTTTTATGTTCCTCAAGCGGAAAGTATCACTGAATCTTTGAGATGCTGCAGAAGTAGAATTGCTCAGAATGTAAGTTTGTTAGGTGGCTAGACTGGCACTGCCTTCCATCCTTGCACTTGGTCCCAAAAGCAAATACTTTGCTGCTGAGAACCTGCACACATAATATGACACACCAGTGGTATGTGCTGCACTGAAAGCAAACCAGTTCTTCAGCAGGGATGTGACAGCTGCATTCCACGCACAAGCAGTTTGAGAAGTGGACATCCAGATAACCAGGTCTATTTCTCACTTCACGACTATGTAGTAACTAATTTACTTGTGCTGCAGCCTGTTAATTTAACAAAAAACAGCACAAGTTACCTCAACAGAATCACAGAATCATTTAGGCCAGAAAAGACCCTTAAGATCAAGTCCAACTGGTAACCCAGCACTGCCAAGTCCATCCCTAAATCATCTTCCTAAGTGCCACATCTATGTGTCTTTTAAATACCTCTAGGCATGGTGACTGCACCACTTCCCTAGGCAGTGTGTTCCAATGCTTGACAACCCTTTCAGTGAAGAAATTTTTCCTAATATCCAATCTAAACCACCCCAGTGCAACCTGCTGCAATTTCACCTGGTCGTGTCACTTGCTGCTTGGGAGATCAACCCCCACCTAGCTACAACCTCCTTTCAGGTAGTTTTAGAGATTGGTAAGGTCCTCCCAGGGCCTCATTTTCTCCAGGCTAACCACCCCCAGCTCCCTCAGCTGCTCCTCATATAACCTGTGCTCCAGACCCTTCACCAGCTCTGTTGCTCTTCTTTGGACATGCTCCATCATCTCATGTCCTTCTTGTAGTGAGGGGCCCAAAACCACTTTTACAGTTCCTCAGTTACAGGATTCTATACAAACTGCCGTCGCAAAGAGGAATTACTTACTTCCTGGACCAATCACATATATAATTGTTTCATGAAATTTAAGGAGGAGTTGATTAGGTTTGGATGACTAATTTAGTTACGCAACAATACTATCGTGAGTTCCGCTGTTACGCGGGCAACCAATTACAGGCATTGCAAATTCTACTTCTAAATGATATATTTTAACTGTTTAATGACTCCTATGCTAAGGCAAGGTATTTCATGTGAAATGGAATATATTATTAATAAGTATCATATCACATCTTTATCACAACAAATTAACTACAAAAGCAAAACAAAACTGCATTTCAAAGGTTTGAGACAAACCTACAGAAATAGGCCAATAAACACACTGACAAATTGTTAAATATCAATCTTTACTGAATGTGTGAACCTCCTTTCTGTTTGTTTTCCACTGCCTACTGCAATGCTTCATACACAAAAGAAAAAAACACTCCGTAAGAAGACAAATAGAATTTAGTGCTCTGTGACTTTCATCGGCAACTAATTTGGGGAGGTGAGGGATCTTGAAGATTTTGGGGAAAAAAAAACACAAAACCAAACCCCACACCTCCAACAGCCTTCTGTTAGTACTCTAAAAATTTTACCTGATCATGAATGTCAACCATCACTGCATTCTGCTGTGGTGGGTGAGCAGCTGGGTGCAACATACGAGGAGATACATTCGGTGGGCGAAAGGCTCGGGGTTCTTCTATTGCTTGCTGCTGTCCATAGGAGAGATGGTGATAGTTTTCATCCTGGCTAACAGAATTGTGTCTAGACAAACGATCTCTCCTTGTTCTCTGACGTCGAACAGGAGGACTGGAAATGCATTAAAAAAATTAGAGATTATACAAATGACACAAATCCTTCTCTGTAACTAAAACCACAAGACAAGTAAATATCAAGAAATTCTTTACACGGGAAAATTTTACTAGAACAGGTTTATTAGATTGGAATAAAATTTCTTACTGACAGAACTGCTACAAGCCTTACAGATGACACCTTTTTCAGTAAGCAAATGTTTAATAGAGTATAGGTTAATGCTGTTAAGGAAACCAAGAGAAGAACTCTTAAGTAAATATTAACTTGTTAAAAAGATGACACTTGGATTGCCATAAAAGTGCTCAAAAGTCAAGACTGCAATCTTCACGATATTTTCTTGCGTTTATTCTATCTAGGTAAAAATCCTTCATTAAATGATCACAGATTTCCCCAGGGTCTTTGTTTCAACCATGCCACAGAACGGTTGCTCACTTAGCGACGGCAGACAAACAACAGACTTCTCTGTGGAAAATAACTAATTTTTCAGCTCTCACATGTTTACAACATAACTGAGTGCCTTCTAGAATTCTCTCAAGAAGATCCCAGGAAACTGTGATTGCAGTATTCTTTCTTTTTAAGAGTGGAGAATTTGTGTAGATTAATTTAGACCTGAGCATCCACTTCTTTTGAGCAACTGATCTAGAGGTAGGATTTGATTACATATTCTTATATAATTGCATGTATATTCTGAGCAGAGCTGCTACTACCTTGAGCCGAGACTTCTGTAAATCAGAGACCAGTGGCTCAGGTTCAGCACTGAGAAAATGATGCACACACAAGTCACAAATTCACTATTAGAAGTTTTGAGCGAGCCTCTTCTCGTTTGTTTGGAAGGGGAAAGAACTGAAAGCACAAAATGATCTTGCAGTACTTTCAGTATATGCTTTCCAACCTCCACAACATGTAAGTTAGAGGTCCCAGAAGCAACAGCAAATTAAAGCCACATGGGGTGAAATGGTTTCCCATTTAGGAAACAGACTGAAGGAACCACACTGCAGAGAAAAGACAAAAAGGATCTGTAACCATTAGAACATGTCCTCTATAAGAGTACATGGAAAAGAACTTTTGCTACTACCAAATAAAAATCAAATAAACCTGCAACTTGTTGGGAAATCCCAGATACTTCTCAGGTTCAGTCCAACTTCTGTGCTGCGTAAAACAGACATACTCTGGGGAAGGGGGAGCACACTACCAGCTATCCAGATGCTACTGGGAGTATATGATAAAATGTCTCAAGCCACTATTTTTCTGCCCTAGTTCACAGGGATTTTATGCCATTATAACTTATCTTAGAACTGAAACAAATGGTAATTCATGACAGGTCAGACAGAAGGCATAACACCAGATTGTAACACAGCATTCTTAAAGAAAAGAAAAACTGAAACAAATCAAAAACGCATAGCCTTCGTTGTTACAAGCTACCATGTCACAACATACAAGTTGTGTTTTCTTCTAAGCACTGAGTACCTAAATTTACAGTCTTAGTAATGTATGTCTTAATTCCAGCTTCTTTCCTTGTAGATTTTGCTGCACTCTCCATTGCTTCATTACTAATATGATACAACCGCTACATTCTCATTAGACAAAACCATAATATATAATTTCTAACCACAGAACTACTAATGCAAAAGATGTTCTACTGTTTGGAGTACCAAGGTTGGTTTAAATTTGCTATTTCCTGCTATGAAACAGAAATGCTCTGAATATTTTAACACAAAAATGGCTGCGCAAGGATTTTTCTTCGGAAAAGCTTCAGGAACAGAGGAAAGTTACAAGGGGCAGCTCCAGCGCTTCAGAAATTCTCTAACTGCCACCAGTGCTTAAACAAGGTGGCTTCTCAGACAAGGCAGATTCTCATAAAACTAGTCATATCTCTGTCTTTGTTAAAAGGGTCGGCTTTACTTTTCTATGAACCCAGAATTATGAGAAAGTAGAGCCAACAAAAGCTGGCAAAGCTTCTGGAATGTCTTTTTAAACCAATGAAGTATCATTCCCTGATAAAAAGCAAAACTGGATTTTTTCCTATGCAGACTTACAAAGAAACTATACTTTCATTCAGCAAAATTCAGAGCACCTTGATACATAGCTTTATTCGCTTCCTGAATGAATAGAAATTACTTCAGAACAATTATCAAGACATAGGTCTAAACTATCATGAAACACCAGGAACAAACTTGTGCTTAAAGTCTTTAAAAAATAGCCACAAAAAAATCTTCTTTCTACATGCACAGTATAAACATGGTAAATGCCAGGTTAAAGCAAAGAAACAGGATGGAATTGGTGAAAAAAATCGCAGGACTTCCTACCCTTAGGTAAGAACAGCCATCAAAAGGTATCCATAACTGCAGAGTTAGTGTGTGCACATCTTAGCATTTCTAACAAGGGTGATTTCTTTGCAGTAACACATTCTTGAATCCCGTTAGTTCAGAATTACACTCAAGACAAGGAGGAAAGGAAGCAGAGATGAAAGGTAAGGCATAGCAATGGTACAGAACCCTCCATTTCACAATGACTGATAAAGATAAATTGGAATGGCCTTCCCTGTTTCATATAGGCATGCATCACGCTTTTACATTCACAGTTTATCTGTCCTATATATAAGTAACTGGACAAAAATAATCTTCCTGCAAATTCACACCAGAAGGCTATCTTTCTAAATGCAGTATTTATTTGCTTATGATGAATCGGAATAAAAAACACAACCAATTAGGGCACTGTTGTGCTAGGCACAGTACAAAACCACTGATACCGAGAGGTAAGGTCTAAATAAGCCAGGAAATGAAAAAAAAAAAAATTCCACATAATAAAAGAACCCAACACAGACTGTCCTGACCAACAGGAGTGAACTGGTAGGACAAGAGAGCTAATGCTGATGCTGCTGGGTCAGAGTGATGTCCACACTACATACTCTGGAGAGGTTTTGCCTGCACTTGTCCCAGCCTGCTTCCTTGAGCTGAATAACCATTTGCAACTGGAGTGCATCTTTCATCTTATCTTAATCTGAAAACCTCATTAACTCTGAGACTACTCTGCCATGGGAAGAGAAAACAAAGCAGGGAGAACAGGAAAGTGGCTTCAAAAGCACATGCATAACCTCACCTAAAGCATTAGTAACAGATGCACTCACAATAATCTTAATGAATAAAGCTTTTGATCCATGAGAGTGGTTATTAGTTCTGATATGACTCCAGAGCACTCTAAGATTCAAAAAGACTCCTGGAAAACAAGAAACATGTATGTGTTGTTCTCCCTAACCAACCTGTTCTAGGAGAGGAAATTGGATGCAATGCTATTCTGTAACTCCCCTAGAGCTAGCTCAAATGCAACAGTGCACTGAAGCTAAAAAATGCAAGTGCAGGGAAACAAAGCACTGATACATTCAAGTGTCTCTGATTAGAGCAAAGCTTATGTTATCACCCAAGAGCAAGCGAGCTGGCACTAGAAAGAATCATGCTTCATGTCCACGATGCTGCAGCCAACCTAATTGCTCCTGTCAGACTGCAGGTGGCTTTCCAATGAGGTGTCTTCCTGTTGGCAGAATGCCTTACCTGCAAAAGCCACAGGTAACACCTGACTGCATCGGAACGTCAGACACTTGTCCATGCACATCTATCTCTTACACATTCCATTCTTCTTCATCCCACAGAACATCCAAACTGTCTAGATTCAGCTGCCTAGCTTGTTAAGCACTCTGCTTAACTCTGCAGGAGAGGTTAATGAACACTGCAAAGAAATCTGTGTAGGCTGCCTGGACACCAAACAAAAATGGCCAAATGCAGCATATTCCAGGCATCTCAGTTCAAACTATTTCGAGGTAAAGATTATGTTGTGGACCAAAAGCCCCTGCAGAGCATCCCTATACCAAACCATATAAAAAGGTCTAATCTTCTGTCTTCACAACAATCCTTCAAGTTCACAATTGAACCTCTTTCTTAAAAGTCTGACAAGCTGCATTGAGAGCTCAGTATTTTACATGCCACTGACCGAAAGCTTTCAAATTCATGGACTTGAAGCCAAGATACAAAACTAGCATGCTTTAAAAAAATTTCTTGCCTAAAAACTACTCTTGGCTGATCATTGTTGCCAAATTTGATTTGTGGCATCTGAAGAAAACTAGCTAAATATATCTTAAGCCTAATATTTTATATTAATGAGAAAGCACAGATACTTTTTTTTAAAGTACAAACCAAGCCACAATATTTCTTAGAAGCAGAGAGACAATGTGTTTTAACTTGCATAAAGTAACTCAGTATTTTTGACGCAGAACGCTTCTGCTTTGGATAATTTGTTTAGCAATTATCTTTAGCAAAAAAGTCTGTGGTTTTATGGTTTCCTAGACTACCATCCCTCCAGGCATCAGTTCAACCTCGTCATCCCAATCTTTCTCTTCCATGTCCATTGGAACTTCTTCCAAAACCTCTGCTTCGAGAAGTTAATGGGCCACAAGCTAAAACCAACATGAAAATCTAACTCCTACTACATGTGAATCAGCCACCTCAGCAAACATTTGACACTGTGCTAACATCCCCATCTCCCCAGCTAGTAACTCTCATCTTTATTTAGATTGTTTTTAAGTATGAAAATAATTGTGACTGCAATGAAAACTATGGTACTACATCAGTAACTCCTAATACCATTAAAAGTACCCCAATGAGAAAGATCTTTCCTTGTATTTTTCCACATGCTTTTTGCCTCAGTGCAGAGTGATAGAGAGAGAATCAGGCTCATAATTAAATATATTTTGAGCACTCCTTTCCTTGAGCTGACTAATCACATGCATTGAGACAATGCACAAAAGTGAATTACTTCCAATAACTTTTCAGTCACGACTTTAATACAGTCAGCTTAAAGGAAACATTAACACGTTTACCATGTGTAATCTAGCCAGTGCTGACCAAAACACACCTCCCTTGAGCTAAAATTAGGAAGAATAAGAACTTGTTTCCCAAGCTACACAGCTTGCTTACCTCCTCCTGTTTCGTGCAGGTGTGTTGCATCGTTCCCCTGAGAAGTGGTGTTGGTTGGGTCGGGCCAAAGGAGGCTGCCTATTTGATGTCATCTCCCATGGTCGCATTGGTGGTGATGGGGCTGGTGATGCTGCTGTATAGTCAAAGACTGAATGGGAAAGGCGTTGTCGCTTGGGACTAGGACTGTCTTCGCTCTACGCCAGTGCAAAGAAAACCAAAACAAAACAAAAAACAAAACCCACCTCCGGATGAGTGAATTACAATCCATACTTCAGTATTGCTTTGCAGCTAGCATTAGGAGTGACTTATTGCAGACTGCACTAAAACACCAGGAAATTGAGAACCTGCAACTAGTTGCCTACTTATTATCTTTATAAACAGAGATTTCTGATGGCTCCCTACCCCCTGGAAGAATTAGTACTAAATTACACTTTAGCAGCATTAAAATATAAAAATTCTAACATCCATGCAAAACCAAAAATACAACAGAAAAGAGAGTAACATGAAGAAAGTAAGGAACAACCTATTTCACATTCCTCTGTCCTTAGCACTTATAGGCTACAGAAGCATGAAAAGATGTACAAGCATGGACTTCACAACAATGGAATCTGTACTAGTCAGTAAGCAGACACCACACAGAGCTTGCACTCTGCACTGCATCCCTTCCCTATCAGGTCTGCACTTACACAGCTAATCAGACACTTGCTCTGTGCTGCAGGCTATTTTGATTCTGCTAGCTCAACACGGAGATGCTTCATCCTTCTAGTTACTCACGTAATAATGTTCGTTTATACATATAACCTGAAAAAAATGAATCATCAATCTCTGGTTAAGTCTGTGTACTTCGCTACAATTCCACAGGGACTACACAGTGTTCAACATTTTCAGCCCTAGTGATATGAAGGTCCTTCACCTCCAGATGATGTTCTCCCAGTTAGATATGAACACAACTACCTCTCCTCTTCTCTGTGTGTCCATGCTACTGAACCATTTAATAGAGCTGTCATACTTCTCGGAAATTTCCATCAACGCCAGTAGCAAACTATTCTGTCAAAATTGTAACACATCATGCTGTTAACAAGCATGACAATTGACAACAGAGAAAAATACATGTCATACTTCAGAGCTCACCAACTGAGCACACAAAAACTAAAACCACATGAACTACCACACTGAAACCACCATTTAGTCCAAACACCACATGGACTTCTCTGACAGAACTCCTGGTGCAAACTGTACTGTTTTGCTGCTCTCCAGCTCGTCCACTCACCCCACCACTTCCATCTCAGCCCACCACAGCACTTTTTAAATTAAAATTGCATGTAATTGGAGATAGTTGGAGCAGAGAAAACAACTTGTCTGCAACGGCTCTGTGGCCCTCCCACAGTCTCGTAATCCACAGGTTGCTAGAGGTCTTATTTCAGGTTTAGTTATAGACTGGACTATGGACATCTTCTGGCTCTTAGCTTCACAGGGACCTGTTACTTTCTGAACACTATTAAGTTGCTTCTTGGTAGGTTTCCACTGACATATAGTTTTACTCCACTGTTCTTTCTGAGAGCACAGAGTCTTTAACAACCAAAAGTTTTGTCCAGGTGTTTAAGAGAAAAAAGGTATTTTTTCCTCTCTTTTGACTTGTGGCCATTTTTACAAAATTTTAGAGCTTTTCAGGTTCTTGCTTTCAAATACCTTAACATGAACTGCGGTTTCCCCCTACTCTATCTTATCTAAAGCCATCGGCTTCCTTGGGCAGCCAGCCTGATGATGCCTGCATCCACCTGTTGCTCAATCTCTTCTGAACTCTTTAACCAACGGCGCTTTAATTTTTCAGAGAAAAATAGGTCGAAAGACAGGTATGCAGCTGAAGGTTCATGAAAGTAGATGTCCAGGTAAATGTTGACTCTTCCAGAAGGCTGCTCGCCCTCAGAAGCTCAACACCAAAAAATTGGAAGAGATATTCCATAAGTGCCTTGACAGCAAAGCTTCTGTGAAAATACCTGTTTTGTTAGATTTCAGAGAACACTGTCAAAGGACAAATCTTAAAGGAACTATGCTACAAGAGTCAGAGATGGATGACCTGTGGCCCAGTTTTTTACACCATAATGACTAAGCCTACTCAAAGAGAAACACAGGCTACTAAATTATGTATGCTGGGATTTTGAGAGTGCAAAAGAAAATGTCAAATGGAGGAAAGAAAAAACTGGATTTAGTGAAGCTGGCAGAAAACAGAACCCTAAAATAATAAAATAAACACTGCTGTCCTGATACATCCTGTACATGCCTTTGGCTGGGAATCTCTCACTGCTAATGCCCTAATTTAAATCTGGCACCTTTCCAGATCATTAACATTAATATACCCTGCGCTGTAGAAAGCAGTATGGAAAAACAGTTCTTTAATTATTGTTTTTCTTTTGTTCGTGAAGTGCACCAGTTCAAAGACAGTGGAGATGCAAACTGCTAAGCAGTTAGTCTTCATCATCACTCTAAATTACTTAACACAGGTATTTCAAACTCCACAAGTGCTAATTGCCCTCTGCAGTAAGCAACAGTACTTTTAGCCAAAACTGTTTCTCATTAGAAAGAAAATAAAGCTAAAATCATTCTTGGAACTACATGTACAGAGAGATTTAAAATGTAATTGTGGGTTTATTTCTGTACTTTAAAAGAAGTAACCTAAAGCTAAACCAAACTTCTTTACAAACTTTCATAAAAAAATCCCAACACAAACTCAATGAAGACAGGGTGTTTTGTCTTAGTTTTTATTAAGAAACCAATTCCCATCTGATGATTGTAGAAAGATAATACTAGTACGCAGGAAAGTACAAAGAGTTAATGACAGATACGTATCTTGTATAATTTAATATTTATTTTCATGTTGTTTTTAACAAGCTTGTGGAATAACTAGATATTGACAGTATGTTTTTTCAGTCTACGCTATCACTGGATATAAAGTTCAGTAGCTCTCCAAATCCCCAAATCACTCTAGTTGTAATATTCAAAATATTCCCTGGGACTACCTGCTATTTTTTACAGCCATTATGTTATGTATTTTTCTCATGTCCAAAAGGCGACGAGAACAGAGTGGCTGAGAGCTATCAAGAACACTGTCTCTACCTCTCAACTAACAAGCTAAAAGCACTACTTTCTTTAAATATACATTCAGCAAAAAGAGTATGATGAACAGGAACACAGATCTCTTCATATTTAAAAGAAACAAGATCAGGACAAAGTCATCAGATCGTTACTAGTAAAACTGTTTGTTATACTTCTTATCTGTTTCTTGCAGAGATTTTTTTGTATGTTTTATCTAAATGCTGTTCCACTTCATTTGGGAAAAAATGGATATTTTCACCAAGACAACATCCTTTGAGACGTTTCTTTTTATTGTCCTTTGCTTTTCCAGTCAAACCATAAATACTGCACCCACACACATGTTATCAACCATCACAGAGGGAATTATTATCAAAGCAATTGCTGCCGATATATGAAAATCACTTTCCTCTCCAACTCCCTTCATATTCTCACTTAACAGTCCTGGGAAGCACAAGAAACTACTCCATATCCTCCATTTCAAATTCAGGGAATAAACTACATCTATGCAGTAGCCCCCAAAAGACCAGTACTTTTAGAGTAAACTAATACTTCAGGAGTATTTTCAAGCATAGCCTTTTCCCACAGAGGGCTTTACGCAGGGACAGTATGACAGGTATACTCCCTAAATGACCCTGCCAGGCTGACCAGAAATCTGCACCTACATGCTTCCCCTTCATGACTGCATACTGAAAAAGAAATTATTTTTCCCATGATGCAAATTGGTAAACTTCAACATTTATAAGCATTTTCATGCTTATAGGCATCTAATGGGCTAGTAAACTGAATATTTTGCATGGTAGGATATATACTCCACCAACTGTGATTTGATTTACATCCCAATATTTCTATTAGTCTGATCATATCTACAGTAACAGTAAATTCCTGGGCTGAATAGACAGTTATGTCAAAATGTAGCAGCTTATTCATAGGTCAGGACTAACCTAATTTTAAGTATATTTTATGGCTTAGGCCTAGTAGCTCTGAAAGAGCTGTGCCCCACAACCAAGACAAGGGAAGTCACCTATGTGACTGGAATGAGTCATTGCGGCCCAGAGTGTCTTGCAAGCATTACTGTCTTCTTCCATCTCTCCTCCAGAAACCACCAGAGGCAGAAGTTTAACTTAGCTGTGGCATTACAAGGTAGAGTTTCCAAGCTCACACCAGTCCCACAGCAGCTGACACTATAGATACAAAGCCTGTAGGAAACCAACAAAATAATTCAGATAGCTACAGCCCCTCCAGCTCCCGACACCAAGAGCAGCACTCACCTACACTGTGGGGACCAGAAACCTGGCGGTGGCTACACCTCCAGTGAGGCTCCAGTTGCTGGCCTAGTTTCTACTCAAGCTGGTCTCACTTAGCCCTCCAGCACTCACATACATGGGATAGAGAGTGATAGTACACAGAGAGGTAGTTTAGAAAAGATCTAATAAAATAGGAGAGCCTGCTGCGATCATGTGCAGAGCTCAGCTAGACAAGTGTAAAGACCAGGCACATCATCTCCTTGGCTGGCACAGTCCCACTGACCTGCTCCAACACCCCAGACCCTCAGCTTCGAGTGACTGACCAGGTTTTTGTTTCTTGTCTTTGTCTCCATTAAGTTTGTTCGGCAGGTCTGTGTCTATCTACATTTTATTTATGGCTTCCCCCTTTCCTTTAGAATGCCATTTGACAAGTCTTCGATCAAATCATCTCACTGAAATAAACATTCCCACATTCCACATACCCTCTCTTCAAGCAGTGACTGCTCAGGTTTGGTCCTTTTATCTGCCTTCCTTACTTTTTTGTTCAACAGATTTGTGCCTCAGAATGTTCCTATTTATTCCTCCTTTTCTTATTACACTGAAAAGTTCCTTGACCAGACACTATTACACAAGCTGATGCTTTCTCCTTCCATACACCTTTACAGAAATCACACAACTCTTCCACTAAGAATACACAGGAAAATTGTACAGACAGTGTTAGATACTATAATCCAGGAAGATGAGATGAAGACTACCTCTAAACAGTAAAAACTATGGACAATATGGAAAAAACCAAGAGCCCCTCACCCCTTGCCCTAAACAAGAATATTTAACAAAAATTGAAAGGGGTTGGTGTAGGGAATGAGAAGAAGCTGTTGTGGTAAACCAGCAGTTTGAAGTCCCAAGCACACTTCATCTCACTGTCATGATAACCCAGGATGGTTCACACACCCCTATCTGCACGTACCTTTGCACACGTGATGGAGGCCAGCTGTGGATCTGGGAACCCAGACAGCAGCACCTGCACTACGTCAGCCACTTCCATAGTGAGCAAAACAGGACACTGCATACACATCATATGTGAACCAGCACAAGTTTTATCATCCACTCCTGCTGTGCTTTCCCGAGTTTCACTCCCCACCAGCTCCTCATTTGATTAGCACTGTTGTCCCAGGGCTTGCACTGTGGTGACACTCAGCTTTCATGAAAGCCAAAGCTGCCACTTGCTCAGTGTCCTGTCTCATCCCTGAGGGATCTGCTCCTACATTCTGTATAACACCAGGGAGAAAGAGAAACGGGATAAAAAAGTGGGATCATATTAACTTGTAAGCTGACAGATGAAAAGCTCTTGGGGTACATAAAGCTTGACATTTCCTTTAAATATGCTCTTAAAATTCTAGCTTTAAATAAATCTAGAAAGCAGCTACTAAAAAGAAACAACTATGTGCAACAAATTAAAAATCCTGTGCCACAAATGGCAAAAAACTAACAGATTTTATGAAAAAAATGGACCACTTCCAACCTAATTGCTGTGCTTTTTCCAAGACAATATAAACAAAGATTATCCAGTTGGACTGAGGGCTGCATGACAAAGGACTTGTCTATGTATAAAGATTTGCCAGCAGAACCATACTGCAATGACACACATCTTTTACCAGCAGAAGTTCTTTAGAGGAACTTTATCTGACAAAATGAACATCAGAAATAAGAATCTTTCTCAAGTATAACTGGATTTGCCCAAAGAATTTTGCTGGCTTATTAGCCCTGGCTAACATAGTGATATTTTTTATCCTGCTAACTGTGTGGCTGTCCAACTCAAGCATAAAACACTGCTTGTTCAAATTCTGAAAAGCTAAGCAGGATTCAGAACCTTTGCTCCAACTCACCACCATTCACATCATTGTTATATCTGTTCTCATGAGTAAGAGAACATCTGGAACAGACACAATGACTCCCCTGGAAAGAGCTGCAAAACACTATGGCTGTTGACAACGAGCACACTCTTGGTACAACGAAGTGGCAAAGTGGAGATAAATGGGTACATGATAGGAAAATAAAAATTCTAACATTGATGTCTACACCCTGCATCCTCAGGCACTAAATAAAAATCCTAGAAGGTAAACATCCAAGACAACTGCTTTAAACAATGCTTCATTTTTTTTTAAAGTACCATTCCAATTTTACCGAAAAACATCACTAACATTAATATTCGGAGCCACTTTTTTCTAGACAAGCTTTAATTTCAGAGTTGTGACCAAGACGCAGTTTGGAAACATGGCTGGTTGGGTGCATACTAGACAACTTCCTGATGAGGGAACACTAAGAGAAATCTGAATTCGGTCTAATAAAAAATTGGCAAAGAAATAGAGACATTCCCAAATCTGCAAACAGTCTCAAACAAATCAGGTGAACAAAAACAAGGTTAAAATGAGCCAATTCTTGCAAAAGTCCTCAGAGATAGCACCTGGAGTACTGTGTACTGCTCTGGGCTCTCCAGCACAGGAGAAATATGGACATACTGTAAAGAATCCAATATAGGGTCACAAAGATGATTAAGCACCTACAGCATCTCTCGTGTGAAGAAAGGCTGAGACAGTGTGGGACTGTTCAGCCTGGAAAAAAGTAGGCTCAGGGGTATCTCATCAGTGAGACACAGAAGGCTCCATTTGAACACGAGTAACAACACTTTACTCTGAAGGGTGACTGAACACTGGCACAAGTTTCACAGAAAGGCTGTGGAGTCTCCTTTACTGGATGTCTGAAAAGCCACAGTGCTGGGCACTTGGCTCTAACTAGCCCTGTTTCAGCAGGGGGTTGGACCAGGTGACCTCCAGAAGTCCCTTGCAACTTCAGCCACTCTGTGATTCTGCAACTGACTTTCATTCAATCCTAAACACCAGGTGTTTTGAAGTGTTTTCCTGTGAAAAAAGCAAAGTGCAACTCAAATAGTACTTTGGGGTAGGGTTTCAAGATGTACCCTTGAGTCACAAAGGGTGAGTATCTACCATTTCCCACTGAACACCTGACACATCTGAGCATTCAAAATGGAATATTATTTCCCTCTGCACTTCAGAGCCTTTTTCTATTTTTTTTCATGTTGCAAGAAGAAAACCAGTAACTCCATCTTAAAATGGAAACCAACACACAGTAACAAAATTGCTAGTACAAAATTTGCTGTAGCAGCTTTCTATGTATCAGCTTTCTCAGTAATTTATGTGAATTAAAGAGCCCTTCTGATAGTGCAACAGGCACTACTTTCCACGGTACTTAGTAAAAAGAACATAATTTGTAAAATATGAGCAACACTATGAAAACATGGTAAAAAGAAGAAGCAAGTTCATTTCTCTTTTTTAATCTTTCAAAGCTATGACAGTATATATCAATTAGGCTGCTACTGTATCTAACTGTACCAAGAACACTCATCATTAATATTTCTGGGCCATCTGGAATTCACTCACAGTTAACAGGATTAATTCATTATTTACTGATAGTGGACATAAAGGCTAATTTACTCTTCATCAACCAGAAATGACAATAAATCCTCCATGTGAGGCATTTCTGTAATGATCTGCATTATGCAATAGCAAATCGCACACAGACAGCACAAAACAGATTCCAACAAATATTTTCATTTTACTTATGATCAAAACACATTGTTAAATTTGTGGTTATTCTACACCTGACTGACATTTATTTCCAGTGTTTTTTCTGTATCAGTTCCTTCTCTGAAATGCATTTCCCATTTAACTGGATGTTTAGGATATAGAAAAAACATTAAGAGACAGCTAAGTCTAAACTGCTTAAGTTTCACACAGTAAGTATTTGAAACAGTCCTAAGAATTTGATCACTAGATGTCAGTTTCTCACCCCAGAAACTGGAATATTACTTGTCTGCATGTAAATTAAAATGCATAAGAACTTTAGAAAAATGTAAAATTATTGCCATTGTATGTAGCACTGCAGCACTCCATAGCAAGAAGAAAAGAAGGAAAATTTATTTAGTAAGACTACACTATTCTTATTTTCAAGCTATACTGCTCATACAAAAAGGACAATGCAAACCATGCATCATAGCATCCTTTTCTAACACTGAAGTAGGTTTAAGAACCAAGGAAGCTCACAGCCATCTCCAAATTCTTCAAATTGATTTTTTTTTTAGTATTTGCTACTGCTTGCAGTACTTGCTGCATGCAAACAAGAATCCTTTGAAATATGAGAAGATTTTACAACCTTTTCTTGGCAAAATGAATCAAAGCAATTTAAATGCTGCTAAACTCACAAGAACGTTATCAAGTATTTATTTTTGTATCACATCATGGTGTTTTTTCTGAATGGGGATCTTTAACTCTCAATCCAAAACACCAGCCAAACTTCAATAAGAGAAAAAATCTCAGCTATACCTCCCTCTCTATTAAAAAAGTTGTTGTAAAAATACTAATTTCACTTTACTTTATGGTCTCAACTTTTAACTCAGCTTTTTCAATGGTCCTTTTATCTGGATGATACAAAATGGAAAACAGTTTGTGCTAATTCTGCAGAAGTTTCTTGCAGTTAATATGCACTATGGTAGTAAGCATTTCAGGCCTTCTTAAAACTGGAAACTTAAAGTTATGCAACAAATAGTACTAGCATCCAATTAGCTTTTAAAAAATATTTTCCAATGGTTATTTCTTACCAGTCCACCCTCAAATTGCCTACCACCTGAGGTGAAGTGTCCATATTTTGACACCAACACCACCTTACATCACCTTACAGAAATGTGCTAAAAACATCCTCTGGGCCTCCACAAAGTCCTGATCTTCTATTTGTATGTAAACAGAAAGTAAGTTTTTAATTAAAATCACAGAACAACAGATAGAGAAACAGGGCTTTGCATGTGTAACAACAAAAGATATCAATTACTGTAAAAAAATTACCTTAAATGTCATAAAATGTATTGAAATTTATACACTTAAAATGATGCCAGGGTGAGAGCAAAGTGGTGAAATCAAGACAAGGTGTTTAGGTATAGTCACATTTCAAAAAGGTCACAGTTTTCAATTTTAACAATAATTACGCTCTTTCAGCTAATGAGGCAAGGAGTCTGAAGAGAAGTCTGGTCCAGACTACTTCACAGCAAAGTCTTCTCTACATATAGTTTGTATATACTGTGTGTATTCACTACTGACTTTGCCATTTAGGCACTTGAATCTAACAATACAGGCACATCAACGTTATGCTGACCATACGTGTTGACAAAGCATCAAAAGAATATCCAGGCATTCACACCAATAAAAATGTTACTCACACTATTGTAACTGATGTCTTCAGTGGGCACAAGGGCAAGTCAGCATTCAAAATTTGTTTCTAGTAAAAGGACCACTGGCATAATATCTCAAATCTATTGCAGAAAAGCATATTCACCTTTCGCTGCCTTCCCTGTCATTGCCTGTAACTTCTGCTAAGTTAACCTAAAAGAGGATTATATGAGAAAACATTGCAAGTCCTTAGCTTCAAGACACAGCTTGTATTTGGGTAGATCTTTTCATTTACTTTAGGAAACAAGATTATTGTCATGTAAAGTCAAAGGAAGGTTTATTAATAAAAAACAAACCACATGATACACATCACATGATACGTGAAGGAAAAGAAGCCTCACTCCCCTGAACACACTCAAATAAGCATTGTTTGCTGACTCACTTTTTAAACCTCATCCTACACTTTTACTAAGGAGAAAAACAAGGCATTAAGAACTTAAGGCATGCAAGAAATTTAGAGAGATGTGTCCTTTCTTAAAATAGCCTCAAGTTGTGCCCAATGCTGATCAAGGTCACCATCATGGCTATGAACTGCTAAATCATTTCAACAACAGATCCATGTAAACATTCACATATTGAAAGCAGAACCAAAGAATACAAACACTATACTATGTCTCCGTATTTCAATTTGAGGAAGAATGCTCT